TTAAAATGTTGCTATATTTCAATAAATTTGTGGTTGGGTTTGGGTTTTTTTAAAACAATGCCTTCATTCTAGTAGAGTGTATTTACTTCTTAATGATGGTCTTTCATATGATTTTAGCTATGTGTGTTTTATCTGTATCCATTCTAATTTCCGGGGAACAGTTGTCATATAGTTTACAAATAAAAAATGACGGTGATTCAATTGCAGGGGTTGAACTAGATGACCGTACAGGGTCCCGACCAACTCTACAGTTCTGTTGCCTTTGGAGTCCCTAACCCTGCACAGGATCATGCTCCCATGCCCCACTGAACTGAAGGGTCTGGAATGATCTGTTGCACCTTCTTGGGAAGACGAGGGTACGTTTCCACCCTTCCTCAAGCTTTCAGGGATGGAGAGGGGGGCGAAAGGTCCTGTCCCCACCGCGCCCACCACTATGGCTCCCCTACTACTCTGCTGTGACCTTCACAAAGATGCCTCAAATCTCTCCCTCCAGATGGAGATCGGAGGAGACAGACCACAGAGTGCTGACGCAGGTCTCCGGGGAGCCCAGCGTAGATGCCGCAAAAGGCAGCCTTTCCCTCCCCCCAGCCCCCCTGCCTGGCGGTGGGTGGGCTGGCTGGAGCTAGGCTCCTGTGTGTTGAGAACGAGGCTTTGTGTACCTGGCCTTCCATCTGGGAACTGGGGCAAGCGGCTTGCTGGATCAGGCCAGTGTATATAGACTGTAAATAACTCTGAGGAGTTTCCTAACTCAGCTGTTGCATGTATAGCTGTGGCTCGCAGCTCAAACCAGGTTTCAGGTCTTGAGTGAGGTATAGTGGTACCTCGGGTTACATACCCTTCAGGTTACAGACTCCGCTAACCCAGAAATAGTACCTCGGGTTAAGAACTTTGCTTCAGGATGAGAACAGAAATCGTGCTCTGGCGGCAGCAGGAGACCCCATTAGCTAAAGTGGTGCTTCAGGTTAAGAAGAAGAAGAAGAGTTTGGATTTGATATCCCGCTTTATCACTACCCGAAGGAGTCTCAAAGCGGCTAACATTCTCCTTTCCCTTCCTCCCCCACAACAAACACCCTGTGAGGTGAGTGGGGCTGAGAGACTTCAGAGAAGTGTGACTGGCCCAAGGTCACCCAGCAGCTGCATGTGGAGGAGTGGAGACACGAACCCAGTTCCCCAGATTACAAGTCTACCGCTCTTAACCACTACACCACACTGGCTCTCCAGGTTTCAGGTTAAGAACGGACCTCCAGAACAAATTAAGTTCTTAACCCGAGGTACCACTGTACTAGGGGTCAGACCTGGAGTCCTGTGTTTCAGTTCTGGGTACCCTGCTTAAAGAAAGGTATTTCAACAACAACAATAATAATAATAATTTATTATTTATACCCCGCCCATCTGGCTGGGTATCCCAGCCACTCTGGGCAGCTCCCAACAAAACACTAAAATACAATAATCTATTAAACATTAAAAGCTCCCCTAAACAGGGCTGCCTTCAGATGTCTTCTAAAAGTTTGGTAGTTATTTTTCTCTTTGACATCTGGTGGGAGGGCGTTCCACAGGGCGGGTGCCACCACCGAGAAGGCCCTCTGCGTGGTTAAGAACTTTGCTTCAGGATGAGAACAGAAATCGTGCTCCAGCGGCGCAGCAGCAGCGGGAGGCCCCATTAGCTAAAGTGATGCTTCAGGTTAAGAACAGTTTCAGGTTAAGAACGGACCTCCGGAACGAATTAAGTACGTAACCAGAGGTTACCACTGTGCAAGGTTTGTCCACTGGAGAGACAAAGCCACACCTGAAGGTTGCAAGAGTCAACACTATTTCCTCAGACCAAGGTAGAGCAAAAGCTCTAGTCCCATGGAAGACAGGTAGCCAGAGGTTTGAACTGGTCAATCCAGTTGCAGGTAGTTCCAAATGCGGAACTGGTAGAACAGGGGTATACTATGTCTATGACAACTGTTTGTTTATGTCTGAGAGTGTGAGACAGGAAGTGTCAGTACTGCTGGGGTATTGTTGGAGAGTTTAGTTTCACTTCTGTGTGTGATGCTGTTCTGTACCACTGCTGAGAGAGCAGAGACATTCTGATGGTTTCTTTGTATAAAGTAAAGGGTAAAAGGACCCCTGACCATTAGGTCCAGTTGTGACCGACTTTGGGGTTGCGGCGCTCATCTCGCTTTACTGGCCAAGGGAGCCGGCGTACAGCTTCCGGGTCATGTGGCCAGCATGACTAAGCCGCTTCTGGCGAACCAGAGCAGCGCACGGAAACACCATTTACCTTCCCGCCGGAGCGGTACCTATTTCTCTACTTGCACTTTGACGTGCTTTCGAACTGCTAGGTTGGCATGAGCTGGGACTGAACAACGGGAACTCACCCCGTCGCGGGGATCCGAACCGCCGACCTTCTGATCGGCAACTCCTAGGCTCTGTGGACGCCACCTGCGTCCCTTTGTATATAGACTGTAAATAAAGTAGTTTAGAGCTACTGATTGACTCTTCTGCTATGAGATGCTTGAAGATGAGTGTGCTCCTCTCAGGAGGGAGGGGTTGCTTATCACCGGTCTCTTGGGATTGAGGAAGATTTACAGCCAGAGAGTGACCATCGGAGAGAGTGTCTTGGGAAGGTGGTGGCCTTTTCCGCCAACACAAACACCCCAAAGAACCTAGGACTCTATAGATAGACTGCCTCTGGACCTGGAGGTTCCTTAAGTACATAAGAAGAACCTGGGCCAAGGGTCCATCTAGTCCAGCACCCTTTTCCCACAGTGGACAAATATCCTAGGTGCTGAGATAGACTGCTTCTGGGCCTGGAGGTTCCACAATACGGAGGCTCTTCATGAGAAGGCCCTGTGCCTGGTTCCCTGTAACTTGGCTTCTCGCAGGGAGGGAACTGCCAGAAGGCCCTCGGCTCTGGACTTCAGCGTCCGGGCAGAACGATTGGGGTGGAGACGCTCCTTCAGGTATACTGGGCCGAGGCCATTGAGGGTTTTCAAGGTCAGCACCAACACTTGGAATTGTGCCTGGAAACGTCCTGGGAGCCAATGTAGGTCTTTCAGGACCGGTGTTATATGGTCTTGGCGGCCACTCCCAGTCACCAGTCTAGCTGCCGCATTCTGGATTAGTTGTAGTTTCCGGGTCACCTTCAAAGGTAGCCCCACGTAGAGCGCATTGCAGTAGTCCAAGGAAAAGATTTAGGGGCTCCTATCTTGGTTCGGGTCTTCCCTTCCAGAGCAGGAGAAAACAAGCTTGCTCCATCCTCCAAGGGACAGCCTTTCAGATATTAGATGATGGCTTTCAGTCTCCTCCAGGCTAAACGTACCCAGCTCCTTCAACCATTCCTCATCAGGCTTGGTTTCCGGACCCTTGATCCTGTGTTCATCAGCCTTGCTGATTGCAATGCCCCAGACAGAATGAGGAATTAACAGGAGACGCAGATCTCAGGGCCAACTAGGCACAATGGCTATATTCTACCTCCATTGTTGAAAGCAGTGTACCTCTGAAGACCAGGTGCTGGGAATTGCTGATACAGAGAGGGCTGTTTCACCCTGGTCCTGCTTGTGGGCTCCTGGGGCATCTGGTTGGCCACCGCGAGAGCAGGATGGTGGACTCAAGGGCTCCTTTCGGCCCGATCCGCCGGGGCTCGTCTGATGTTCAGAGAATCATCTCTGTGTTTGCGTTCCAATCTCCCAGAAGCCTGTTCTCAGAGCAGCTCCCAGCATATCAAATGATTGTCGCTACATATCCCAGTTCCAACGCGCCCTATGAATAATTACAATTGCAAATAACCGTCATGTCTAAAAGTAAACATGAGTTAAGAATATCCGTCTGCGCAACTTTGAACAAGGCGAGACAATTGAATTTACTTGAGCCAACAGCTTAAAGCGATGCAGGAGAGAGAAGGAGGCCTAATTCAGAATGTGCATTCTTCCTCTGGGTCTTAAGGACCGGATAAATGGCCTGATCCGTCAGTCTCTTCGGATGTTCTTATGCTTATTGAGCATTCACCCTGAGTTTCTTGCACAAACTTTGAATTAAACTGCAACTAATCCAGAATGCGGCAGCTAGACTGGTGACTGGGAGTGGCCGCATAACACCGGTCCTGAAATACCTACATTGGTTCCCAGTCCGTTTCTGAGCACAATTCAAAGTGTTGGTGCTGACCTTGAAAGCCCTCAGTGGCCTCAAAGGCCCAGTAGACCTGAAGGAGTGTCTCCAGCCCCATCGTTCTGCCCGAGGGCCTTCTGGTGGTTCCTTCCCTGCGTGAAGCCAAGTTAGAGGGAACCAGGCAGAGGGCCTTCTCGGTAATGGTGCCTGCCCTGTGAAAAATCCCTGCGGATGTTTGATCTTTTATCGTGTTTTAAATATTCTGTTGGGAGCCGCCCAGAATTATTCTTGTTGTAGACTTGTGAAATATTTGTAGAGCTGCTTGCTGCCCGCTGCCGTGGCGCCTGCCATTCTTCCTCACCGGAAGTCCTCATATGATGTGTTGCGCACAAGACACATCGTACGGGGACTTCCGGCGAGGAAAAATTGCGGGCGCAGCGGCAGCCAGCAGCTCCTGAAGCCAGCCAGAGCCAACTGCGCTACCAGGCTGGCTCCGGGCTGCTGAGGCTGCCACTGCCATGTTTCCCAGGGACAGATTTGCAGGGACATTCCGGGGACGGAATTTGTCCAGGGACAGATATTCAAATCCGGGGGCTGTTCGGTAACCCTAGTGTAAGCCCCTGCAGTCCAAAGACAATTGGAAAGCTTTTCCCGTTTCCTTCCTCCTTGCAGAGAAATATTTGAGGTCAATTTGGGAGAGTCAAAATGGCTTCAGGATTGTTCTCCTGTAGTATTTCAGACACGTGGTTTATATACTTACGTTTGTGTTTGCCTTGTACATTTGTGAACATTTATTTTATATATATAAGACCTTAGAATTCCTATAATAGTATCATAGAATCATAGAATTGTAGAGGTGGAAGGGACCCCAAGAGTCATCTAGTCTACCCCCCCCCCAGTTCCACAACTGTCTCTGGGTGGGCTCGCCCCACCAACCTTCTGGTTAACAGCCAGACACACTGACCCAGTGTGCCACTAAAGCAACTTCTTAGATTCTGAATGAGGGGAAAGGGTATAGGGACCAGGAGATGATGCCATCCTGGAGAGATGCTGCCGGTCAGTGTAGACTGTTGTTGTTATTGTTGTTTAGTTATTTAGTCGTGTCTGACTCTTTGTGACCTCATGGACCAGAGCACGCCAGGCACTCCGGTCTTCCACTGCCTCCCGCAGTTGGGTCATACTCATGTTGGTAGCTTCTATGACGCTGTCCAACCACCTTGTCCTCTGTCATCCCCTTCTCCTTGTGCCCTCCATCTTTCCCAACATCAGGGTCTTTTCCAGGGAGTCTTCTCTTCTCATGAGGTGGCCAAAGTCTTGGAGCCTCAGCTTCAGGATCTGTCCTTACAGGGAGGAGACTCTTGAGAGTCCCATGGACTGCAAGAAGATCAAACCTCTCCATTCTTAAGGAAATCAGCCCTGAGTGCTCACTGGAAGGATAGACCCTGAAGCTGAGCTCCAATACTTTGGACACCTCCTGAGAAGAGAAGACAGGTGTCTTTGTTTGACAATCCACGTGAGCCCAAGGATTTTCCTATATCAAGGCAACCCTGATCCCGGCAGACCCAAGGCCTGCCTCTGAATAACACAGCTTCTTCCTGTGTTCCTAGGCCAGCATTGTCAACTCTGACTGGAAGCAGCTGTCTTGGATTTCGGACAGGAGCTTCTCCCACCTGATGCTGGGAGATGCTGGGGTTTGAACCCAGGATCTCCTGCATGGGTGATGGACCCTTGTGCACTGCGATTCCTGCATTGCAGCGGGTTGGACTAGATGACCCCTGGGGTCCCTTCCAACTTAATGCTTCTTTGAGGCAGCCTTGAAGGCCTGGAGCCCCGATTGCCTCCCCTCGCCTGGCACAGCTACAGGGCAGGAACACTGCCAGTCTCCACAAGATCCAAGCAGGAGAAAGGAAAAACAGGGCGCCTTCTCCTTGCCCCTATGAGCACCAGTTCCCAGAGGGGCCCAGACGTTGCGTAAGTATCAGTGGTGTCAGAAGTGCAGAGCAGGTGCCAGACGAGAGCAGGAGCTTTGGAGAAGCAGCGGAGCCTGGAAACTAATAATAATTAGCATCCCCAGCTTTATTTATAGACAGTGCTCAAGATGGTTCGCAGGCTTTGGCTGAGTCATCATTACGACAGCCTTGTGAGGTAATCCATCATCATCATCATCATCATCATCTCGTTGGAGAATTAGGACTTGAGGCCGAAAGGGAACTGCAACCTGGTTCAGGCACAGTGCAAAGGCCTCTTTTGCCCCAGTATCCTGTTCCCGACAGGGGACAGCTAGAGGTCTTTGGGGTAACGGTTGCAGCATTTGGGACTTTTTAGTTTGGAGACTTTTTAGAAGGACGCGGGTGGCGCTGTGGGTTAAACCACAGAGCCTACGACTTGCTGATCAGAAGTTGGCAGTTCGAATCCCCGCGACGGGGTGAGCTCCCATTGCTCAGTCCCTGCTCCTGCCAACCTAGCAGTTCAAAAGCACATCAGAGTGCAAGTAGATAAATAGGTACCGCTCCGGCGGGAAGGTAAACGGCGTTTCCGTGCGCTGCTCTGGTTCGCCAGAAGCGGCTTAGTCATGCTGGCCACATGACCCGGAAGCTGTACGCCGGCTCCCTTGGCTAATAAAGCGAGATGAGCGCCACAACCCCAGAGTCAGTCACGACTGGACCTAATGGTTAGGGGTCCCTTTACCTTTACTAGTTTGGAGAAAAGTCGAGGAAGACACTGCAGGAGAGGACTGTATAAAATGATACACATTAAGGAGCGAGTGGATAGGGAACAGTTTTTCTGCCTCACAATGCTAGCACTCAGTGGAGAGACTGGGGACTCAGCTATACGTCTGCAAATATCACGTTTTAAGAGCATTATACAAATGTGGCACTAGATGGCGCTGACAAGCTAATAGCAAATTCAATATATATACTGTATTAAAAACTTGTTATAAAAGGATTTTTACAGCAGTTTTTAAAAAAAGAATTAATGCATAGATTCCACCTGGGAAAAGGTGTCCCTGTTAATTCTCCTCACCCTCTCAGTGGCTTTGGATACTGGGATGGTAGCCGATGCCGCAGAAGACAGAATCGGGATTCAAGATGATCTTCACAGATTGGAGAGCAGGGCTCAAATTAACAAAATTAATTCCAGGAAGAACCAGATGCACAAAAATAAGATGCAGGTGAAATAAAAAAATTAAGGTCTTATATGTATAATAAATGTTCATAAATGTACCAAGCAAACACGTACATAAATATATAAACCACATGTCTGAAGCAGCACAGGAAAACAGCCCTGAAACCATTTTGACTCCTAAACTGACCAAATGTTCTCTCTGCAAAGTCAAAGGAAAATGGAAAAGCCTCCCCATTGTCTTTTCCTTCACAAATCCTGTCTTAAGGGTATGTCTGTGTTTGAATAGGGTGAGCCTGTGACCTGGCTCAGGAACTACGGTAAGTATTTATCATGACAAAAGACTGGCCGGGCTCCCCAGGGTATCCAATCAAGTGACCATTAACAGGTAACCTGCCAGACAGGAGATAAACAACACACTCAGATTTCTGCTGTAGACCACCCCTTTCTGTGATGTAGGTATGATGTATCTGGGGGGGGAGGGTCTAGAGCTACACCCCTTTCTGTGATGTATGTATGATGTGTCTGGGGGTGGTCTTGGACTCCAGGGTGGGCAATTTAAAATGTCTATATAAGGGCGGCCACACCTTGGTTCTAGGTTCCTCCTCCTTTCCTGCGTGTGAGAGGAGCATCCTGTTGCAACAGAGCAATAAAGATCAGGCTTACGAGCTGCTTTGTTTCTCAATATTCTCCGGCTGGCCTCTGTTCTTTTCTCCGACCGATGGAGAACCTGCAAAGGACTCTATAAGGGCTCTTGTGTCCCCCATAAGGGAATTAGGGCAGATTTTTGTTTATTACACAGGACACCTGGCTTACTAGCAGTACATGTGTAAAGGATCTTGGGGTCTTAGTGGACCACAAGCTGAACATGAGACAACAGTGTGATGCAGCAGCAAAAAAGGCTAATGCTATTCTAGGCTGCATCCACAGAAACATAGTGTCCAGATCAAGGGAAATAATAGTCCCGCTCTATTCTGCCCTGCTGAAACCACACATAATAATAATAATAATAATAATAATAATAATAATAATAAATTTTATTTATATCCCGCCCTCCCCAGCCGAAGCCGGGCTCAGGGCGGCTAACAACAATCAAATAATCCCACATTCTAAAAACATTCCATTATAAAATTAATTAAAATCAAATTGATGGCAACCATTAAGCAAAATTCTGTGCAGTTTGCCAGAGGAGGGAGTCAGGCTGCACCCTGACCAAAGGCCTGGTGGAACAGCTCCGTCTTGCAGGCCCTGCGGAAAGATGTCAGGTCCTGCAGGGCCCTAGTCTCTTGTGACAGAGCGTTTCACCAGATTGGAGCCGCAGCAGAGAAGGCTCTGGCTCTAGTTGAGGCCAGCCTAACCTCTCTGTGGCCTGGGACCTTCAGGGTGTTTTTATTTGCAGACTGTAGGTTCCTCTGTGGGACATACCAGGAGAGGCAGTCCCATAGGTACGAGGGTCCTAGGCCGCATAGGGCTTTAAAGGTTAAAACCAGCACCTTAAACCTGATCCTGTACTCCACCGGGAGCCAGTGCAGCTGGTATAGTACCGGATGAATGTGATCCCGCGGCAAGGACCCTGTAAGGAGTCTCGCCGCGGCATTCTGCACCCGCTGGAGTTTCTGGGTCAGTCTCAAGGGCAGCCCCACGTAGAGCGAGTTACAATAATCCAGTCTGGAGGTGACCGTCGCGTGGATCACAGTGGCTAGGTCAGGGCGAGAAAGGTAAGGAGCCAACTGCTTAGCTTGGCGGAGATGGAAAAATGCCGCCTTTGTTATAGCTGCAATCTGTGCCTCCATAGAGAGGGAGGTATCGAAGATTACACCCAAACTCTTAACGGACGGTGCTGGCACTAACTGCGCCCCCGCAAGAGATGGGAGTTGCCCCCTCAATCCCATATCGTCCCGTCCTGTATCCAGTTCTGAGCACCACAATTTAAGAAGGAGACTGACAAGCTGGAAAATGTGCAGAGGATTGTGACCAAGATGATCAAGGGTCTGGAAATGGTTGAAGAATTTGGGTTTGTTTACCTTGGGGGAAAAAGAGACTGAGAGGAGATACAATAGCCATATTCTAATATCTCAAGGGCTGTCACATGGAAGAAGGAACAAGCATGTTTTCCCCTGCTCTGGAAGGCAGGACCCGAACCAATCGATTCATGTTACAAGAACAGGAGATTCCGACTTAAACATCAGGAAGAACAACCCTTGGGAGGTTGTGGATACTTCTTCCTTGGGGGTTTTTAAGCAACTGTCATGGATGCTTTAGTTGAGATTCTCGCATTGCAGTGGGTTGGACTGGATGACCCCAGGGGTCCCTTCCAGCTGTACAGTCCCATGATTCTACAATCTTTCTCAAGGAATGGTTGGTAAAGGTCTCTCAATACGATAATCTTTATTGTCATTGTCCCATACGGAACAACGGAACTGAAAAAATCTACACCAGACATTCAAAAACCAAGAAGCCTACTATCCCAGCTATCCCAGCCTAGTTAACCCCCTAAAAACTCTGATACCCCATAATTAAATACAATATAGACCACAGAGACTACCTTACACTGTGTTTAGAACCAAAATCGCATTTGGATAGAAACTGTTTCTCAGGCGGCTAGTCCTAGTCTTTATAACCCTGTACCTTCTTCCAGAAGGCAGAAGCTAAAAGAGATCATTTCCAGGGTGCGCACTATCCTGCGCTATCTCTGCATCTTTCTTATGACACCAATAATAATAATAATATTTATTTATTTATTCATTCATTCATTCCCTGCCCATCTGGCTGGGTTTCCCCAGCCACTCTGGGCGGCTTCCAACAAAGACCAAAAATACACTAAAATGCCACGCATTAAAAACTTCCCTGTCTTCTGAA